TGAGCACGATTCAATGATTGCATCCACATCCAAGAGTGTATCTCTCAACCCCAAGAAGCCTTCGATTCTTCACATAGTTAGCCAATTTATCGACTCAAACACTCAAAGAGAAGAATCAGCTACAAGTTAAGTCAGCTGACTTGTCCAACAACTCCAAGTTGAAAGCCAGGATCTCTCTCTCTCTCTCTCTCTCTCTCTCCCTCTCCCTCCCTCCCTCCCTCCCTCCCTCCCCCTTCACTAGACTTAGGGCCGTGTGCACTTCAAAGATCCCCTGAGGACAACATTTGCTCTGTGAACTTCGAGATCCCTGAGTTCACGATGTCCCGCTTGGCGGCGGAACTCATCGCGAGCCTCTTGCGCTACCCGCCCTCCACCCGCACGCCCCGCTCCGCCGCCGAGCTGCTGCTGCACCGCCAGCGCTTTCCGTGCCCGGCGCCGCCCGAGCCGCCCGAGCCGGCGGAAGTGGCGGTGGAGGTGCGGGAGAAGCCCAGGCCCAAAGCAAAGAGCCGGAGTGGAAGATTGGAGATGCTGGGAGAAGAAAATAGTGCGATTGATGGACACGTTGGGATGAGAGATTTGGTAAGTGGGGCAGTGGAGGAGCCATGGGGAGAGGTTTCAAGAGTTGGGAGGGAGAGCTCTTGCTGTTCTGCAGTGAGGGGGGGCATGTTGGGAAACATGTTGGGAGAACGTTGGGAGGTGTGTGACTTGCTCCGTGGCGGAAGCTCAAGAGTCCAATATCAATTTCTATACTGTAGTTGGGTGACCTCCGGTTCCGTTAGCAGCTTGGAGTCTTTGGCTCCATGTAACAAACATCCAATTGTGCTTGCGACCACTGGAGGATGGAGCCAAGTCCTGATATCACACATGACCAGTGGAAGACGCTCTGATGAAGTCTTCATCGCCAGAGCCCTTGGGCTGAGGCTTGTGACAGAGGTTGACCATCAGGTTTGTGAAAGTGAGGTAGTGCTTTGTAGCACCAGGTCTTCTCCCATACCCTCCCTCCAACAATGACTGACTTTGAAAAGACAAGGAACAAAGGAACATGATCTTCCGAGGGATCCACTTCTCATTTTGACTGGGGGCCTTTTGGCTTTGCTTTTGGACACGAGATCCCTGAACACCCAACCGGGTAGGTCACTGTGGTAGGTCTCGGATGTGGTGAAAGGTTTCCAAGCCGTTTGCATCGCCACCTGAGCCCGAGCTCGTTGATCAGTTGCCGATCGGTTCATCTGCAGCAGGCTCAAGGTGCAGGTTTCCCGGCAGCTTCATGCATGGAAGATGTCAAGAAGCCCGGTCCAAGCACACATGCACCAAGCGGACATGGAAGCTGCGAAACCTGGTGTGTTTCGATGGAAAGGCGTAAACATTACTGAACACTGCACTGAGGTCCAAGAGTTTCTTTGAAGTCGTCATATAATATGGTCCCTGGTCACACAAGTCATGTACCAAAATCCTGGAGACTCAGAATAACCGGCTGAGGTCGGGTGCTTTTTCCGGTCCACCCCGGCAAGAGTGACGAAAGGTTTTTTTGGGGGGCCACGTCTCCTCCACAGACGCTTTGGCGGAAGTCAAAGACCCCATACACACACTGACACACCCCACACCCCACACGAGCACCTTTTTCACTGCGGAAGTCATTGTATGGGAAAGTTGAAGATTCCTGGCGATGGCAAGCAAGCGTGGACTCCAAGTCGCGTTTTTGGTTGGGCTGCGGGTGAGATTCCTGTGAGGCAAGGAAGCAAAAGGTTTGGGGACGAAGCAAGTGATGGAGGTTCTGTGGGCACAAGGATGGTCAAGACCCTCAAATCAACCGACTGGCACGAACCACTTCGAGTCCTCGCAGTGGCCTCTCGCGTGTCCGATGGATTCACCGTTCGCGGCTCGCTGTGGCTCCAAAGGTCGGGCCAAAGGTCGCTACGACGGTGTAGGGTATTCTCATCCCCCCCCCCCGGTGGGGGGTGAATCCCCCGTTGGTCGCGGTGGTTGATTTCTCCCTTTTTTTACATGTTTTTACCAGTTCCTGGAGAACGCAAATCCAAAGAGTATGAGATCTCCCCATGGTTCCAGGAGTGCGTGGCCTGTGCACGAAGCGTTTTTCTGAGCGAAAAAGCGCGAAGCTAGGAGTGGGCCTGAGACTAGGAGTCATGAAGTGGCTACAAACCTGTGAAAGCAACCCTTTCAACAACTGTCTGTAACATGCAAAGCTAAATGATTCACCTTGGCTTCAATATATATATATATATAGTAATAATGCATCAACATGTGGTGCTGATGGCCACTGTCCATGTCCATGGGGGAGGAGGTGGGAGCAGGGGCACTCATGACAAGCAAAGTGGGAAAGCCGACGTCTCTACTTTGGGACAAGAGTAGAAGCCAATCCAAGGTACAATCCTCCTCTATGGAGGATTGTTTCGATTAGCTCAACAAGGGAAGTGCTTGTTAAGTAGAACTTGAGACTTTGTGCGGAGGGTGTGCCTTGTTCAACTTCGCCTGCAAAATCCCTGAGCCTTGGAATGAGTTTTGAATGGATTCTGTGTCATTGGATACTCATCCAACCAACTCCTCTGGACGGATCGGTCTCGACTCCGGACAGGAGGGGCATGGGGTCGAGGCCATCCCTAGGTTTTGAGGGACCAAGGGCTGTGAACGAAGCGTCTGGGTATAGGGAAGGTGCGATCCTTCGCATCGATTGGCAGGTATTCCGCGGTGCTGACCGCCAAACAAGAGCGGCAAGCGGGCGTCGCCAGTGCGAACATTTGGTACACGAGTGGCAACAGCCCGGGGCCATGGCTGTGCTGAGTGAGTTCTGGACCGAAGACATCCGAAGACCTGAGACCTGGGGATTCCCGGTTGGACATGGCTGTGGTGCAGATCCAGGTTTGCCTCCAAGGGAGGCCTGTTTTTTTCGCAACGAAGGGGCCTTGGACCATCGGCAAACGATACTCCCGATCTGGTAGTCGTTTTCCTCGCTTCGCTGGGAAACGCGGTGTTGGAGGGTGACATGGCCTTTAGGCCTGCACACACACACATGACCGATCAGCACCAATTAGTTGACTTGGTGAGCGCGGGCCACGAATGGATGGTCTTTGGGAGACCATGAAAGGTTCCGGAATGGATCCAGCCGCCCTGGGGCCTCCCCCAAAAGCAGCAGTGAGTGGGACACCTCCGATGTTCTTCAGGCTCTTTGGATACAGTTTGACCGTGCTATAGAGCTGCGAAATCGCATCCCACCGGGAAGCCGTGCCTCCTCTCAGGTGGAAAGGACTTGTGGAAGCTGAAGGTGTGTGGGTTCTGGGTGGGGTCCAAGCCCAGGGACCCTTGGTGGACCACCGAAAATAACGTATTCCATATCCCTACTACCTTTTTCCTACAATAGCAGTACTAGCCATCACAATCACGCCTCGCCGTTTGGGGTGAGTCATGAGCTGGACTCTCTGGGTCAAAGTAGATTACGAGGGAGGTCAACCTAGCAGCGTGAAACGGTTCATGATGTCTTTGTCGAATCCCTATGCATCGCTCATATCTTTGCTCCGGGTTTTGACCCAATGGCGCCACTTGCTTTGATCGGACGCCTGAACACCATGAAGACACCGCACGCTGGATCTTGTCCACGATTCTCGCGACGGGTCATATGTAGTCAGACCCCTTAAAGAGACGTGATTGGACATGTCTCGTTAAACATCTTCCTCCCAGAATCATGGGCTAGGACCATCTGGCTCAAATCCCAGTCCGAGGATGCTTTGGAGCCACTTACATGGTGCCAAGAGTTTTCAGGGCGGGTTGTAGTTGGAAAACTTCATGCAATTTGAACAGATCGCAGCAGAAAGTGGTGGGGACACATTCTCTCGTAAAAGGCGACCCATGCGACCAACCTTCAAGACCACGACCCGACTGCTCGACTAGCTCGAGCCCCGCGGCGGCCGGAGGGTGTGGCATCCCCCTAGAGGTCCCCCAAAAGGTTCTATAAGTCAAGACTGCTTTGAGTGTTTCATTCTTTTTTCAAACACTGCTCTAAGCCAATGCCCAAGTCCGTCCACTATAAACAACTTCTGGCTTGGCTTCTCCAAAATGCAATTCACCTCCACACTCTTCAGGAATGGACGACTACGCTAAAAAGCGGAGTTTTGCTTTTTTTGGTGGGGGTCTTGTTTTTGGAGCCACAGCCATCCACGCCAGACTCGGGGGCTCTAAAACAGTCAGTTTATTTTTGGGGGGCTTTTGTCACTGGCATGCCTCAGCGCCAGGCGAACAATCCGGAGCTCTTTAAGAACCACGCCACATGGCCAAGCTGTTTGGGTTTACTGCGGAGCAAGTGGATGAAACGACCGCAGGACGTCAACGACGGAGGACTTAACGACATAGGAGACCTGAAGCCTGCGGGATTGAGGAGGAGACGCTTTGTGGAGGTTTTGCTTCTTGGGGGTTCTTGAGGGTTCTCATACCCCTCACGAGAGGTCCAACATCGCCATCCTTGCCTGTTTGATCGCAGACCTGGGACGCGCTGCGCGTCCCGTGGAATCCGTTGTGCAGGTCGATCTGAGAAGCCGGTCCCTCATGCACAAAATATGCTGTTGGAACACGGGGTATAACCTTGGGTAAATATTCCAGGTAGTACTACGGTAGCACCGTGAGTTGATGGAACAATTAAAGACATATTCTGCAAGGCATCGACATGGGCTTCAATCTGCCAGTAGGGAAAGCCTTGTAGACGAGATCTTGCTTTTCTTTTTCGGAGAGCACGTTTGATAGACACCAAATCATGGAGTCAAAGCGGCTCTTTCAGGGTCAAAGTTCAGTCATGGGGTCAAAGATGTTCAGAGACCGAGCTTGCTTTCCGCTCGAACGACACAGCTCAAGTAACAGCCTTTCAAGCCCGATGATGAATGGTTACTAGCACCGATTCAGACAGGTGAAGTCACAACTAATGTAGATGACCACCAAGTTCGTGTCTACTTTTGGTTCAGATCTTCACTTGCTTTGCCTCACAAGATCGCCCTATCATGAGGGCGCTTTGCACCGCATGGAGAGGCATTCCCAGACATGGTTTGCGCAGAGCTCGGTGGCAACTTGGAAGCACCTTCTCAACAGAAGCAGCCGCACTGGATGCGTATTCACAGGTGGTCACCAATGTGGTCGACACTGTTGGACCGGCAGTTGTGGCCGTGAAGCACAGGGATGGCAAAGGACAAGGTAGTGGCTTTGTCTTCAGCTCTGATGGCTACATCGTCACCAACGACCACGTTTTGGGTGATGCCGGCTCGGAGATCGTGGTGTCCTTAACCGATGACACGGTCCTCCAGGCGGAATTGGTGGGTCGGGATCCACCGACGGATATTGGCATCGTTCGAATTCCTTCCAGAGGCAGGTCCTTGCCATCAGTGGAGCTTGGAGATTCCGCGAAGCTGCGCGTTGGACAGCTGGTGGTGGCGATTGGCAACCCGCTGGGCTATGCCAACTCAGTGAGTGCAGGGGTGGTCTCTGCCCTGGGTCGATCCCTGCGCTCGCAATCGGGCAGATTGATCGACAACATCATCCAGATTCTGATCGAGTTCAGACATCCTTTACACAAACTAACATGGCAATAACTGAGTGGCAGAACCAAAAGCAATTCAAAGGCCACTTCAGGGTCGCCATGGTAGTTTGGGTGAGGGTAGCTCTTTCAACTGTTGGGCTTCTTTCTTGCACCCTTTCACGACTCGACCTTGGTAAGTGTGTAGGGTGGTTTGCAAGGGTTCTTCATTGGGCCAAGATCTACCCCTCTCAAAGCACTTCGCTCACCGTCGATCGTGGTGCTTTCCGCTCGATGGACCGGCCCGAAGCATCTCCCGTCCTGAGCCCTTTCATCCCGTCACCGTGGCCGAACCGTTCGGGTTTGCCATAGACATAAGACATAAGACCTCTATACATGTCTTATGTCGTATGTAGACCAGCCTCCCCCTTTCCACGGAGAAGCGGTCCGACCCGCCCAAGACGTGAGGACGGACACCGCCATCAACCCCGGCAACTCGGGGGGCCCCTTGGTGGACTCCCACGGCCGCGCGGTGGGCGTCAACACCGCCATCATCTCTGGGACCCAAGGCGAGGACCACATCGCGGGGTCGATGACGGGGTATCCTTTGGTCCTTTGGTGTCGTTTGGTGCCTTTCTTCAAGGGTTTGGAGGACAATTCCAAGCTCCAAGATGAAAAGAAGAACACCAGTTCTGGTGAGTCTGGATCCAGTTTAGTAGAACGAAAAACACCCGACACACCAACCTTTTGGGAGGACTGGCCTTTGCCGTGCCTTCCAACACCTTGTCCTTCGTCGTCTCGCAACTCATGCAGTTCGGCCGCGTGAAGCGCGGCTACTTCGGCATCGTGGGTGGCTCCCGGGCGATGCACCGGCAGTTGCAGCAACAACATGGGCTGATGCCCACGGCAGTGCAGGTTCCGTTCTTTTTTTTTCCGGCTGCCTTACTGTACTATATCTTACAATGGTGGTTCCAGGGAGAGAATGATGGGAAAAAGACGCCTTCCAGTTCCAGTGCAAAGGGGAGATGGAAACAGCTTCGAAGCACTTCAGTGACGGAAATGTGCAGAAGTCATGAACGTGGCATATGGGGCTTGTTTGTAAGGAAAAACACGTCGCAACCGAGAGGTTAAGTGACCCAAAAAGGATCCTAGTACGGGGTAGCAACAGAGGTTGAAGAACCAGACTATTCCATAGGTACCCCTAGTAGCATCCTTTTTTGGTCACTTAACCTCTCTTGGTACCTGTGGGATAGTCTGCTTCGAAGCACCATTAAGAGTCAAGACTCAAGATGAAGAAGCTTTGTTTTAGAATGTTTTACTCAGGATTTTGCACCACCAAGCCAGCTCAAGGATTTTTCACATGCTCGAGCTGAAGGCTAGGCTTGGTCAAACACTCCCCAGCCTCCCCAGGTGGCGGCCCTTGACCCAGATGGACCGGCTCAACGCGCTGGAATTCAGCCGGGTGACTTGCTAGTTGCGGCGGACGGACAGCCGGTGGGCTCCATGGATGATCTCTACCGCGTGTTGTCTCAGCGGCCACCCCAGAGTCCTTTGAAGGTGCGCGTGTGACTTGGAGAATTGGAGATTCCAAGTTTTCACAATTGGTTAGAGTTTGCCAAATCCACCAATCTGGGACCGTAACAGAGAAGTGGAAAACCCCTTGTTCGTCAAAGGAACCACGATGAGGTCCCTCAAAACCAAACAAATTAAGACCCTACACCTGTCCATGTAAGATACAATAACTCATGTGTCCTAGGTCTTTGATCAGCCAATTCAATCCTAGGTTGCGCCCTCTTCCGGGTCATTTCAAGAGCCTGGAGGTCACCGTAATTGTGGAGGAAGACCGCAAGCTCCTGCACGGAGCCACGGCCAACCAGCCTCGCTTGGTGCCAACTGCACGACCCAGCGAGGCAGATTTCAAGCTCTATTAGGGTTCAGGAATAGGGAGGCTGACCTCGCCAGGCTCCGAGGTCGCTAAATCAGCGACCAGGGCCGCCTGACTCGGAGGGAGCCACCTCCAAGTCAATGACCTCCTGTGGCTTTGGCGTCCATCTATGCCATGCCATGTACAGAGGTGGATGGTCGTCTGCTTTTGAATCATAAATCAGCTCAACCCCACTGGTTTGGAGGGTCTCCCTATTCCATTATTGGTCCATTAGTTGTTGAGTTTGAGTAGCATCAAGCGCGTTGCAGTGCCAAAGTGTGCGCTTGTTGTAGAGACAGATGGTGCGTTAAAAAAGATGTGGACTGTCAGCAACACAAGGGTAGGGTTTCCGATCCATGTGGAGGTCACTGAACATAAAACAAACCACAATCATTCTAGGTTGACATTTTGGCTATCTGGACTACCGAATGGTATATTATTTGGTACATTCCAAACCTCACCATGTCGATTGGTCGCCTCAACATCACTCGTTTTCAAGGACCATTTTCTTCCAGGACAAGGCGAGTCCTTGCGAATGGCCCAAGAATTTGGGACATGCGAACCCCTCTAGACCAACATGTCATCCTTTGGAAGAATGCAACAAATTAGTAACAAGAAGCTATTAGTAACAAGTGCCTTACTAGTAGTAACAAGAAGCTAGTAGTAACAATGGAGTTTTTTTTTCTCGCATTTTTCCTCAATGAGAACTTCATGGACGTGTTCCACCTTGTAGAACACGCAAAAAAACCTCTCCGGACACCAGGGTGTTTCAAACCTCTGGAGGAACCCTTTGTTGTTTTTGGGTCTCAGACCATGGGTCCGAGACTCTACGCCTCCAGTCTTGTTTTTTGTGATCCATCCATCAGGCCACATGTGCCCTGCGCACCTAGGCATTCCTAGGGCATACTGAAACCGGTCGAGAGAACTCTGGATGTGTCTTCACATCTCGAGGCCACTGAGCAAATCAGTCCACACAGATGACCAAGGATGTCAACCTAGAGTGGGCGAGAGGTGTTGTATTTCTTTGATCCATCAATTAGTCTAACATGTGTGGCTGTTCTCACCCTCTCTTCACCCAGTTTCTCACGACTTGGCCTCCTTTCACGACGTTGGTTTCCTTGATTTCCTACGTACTCACGTCGCCTAGGGTGAAACGCACGGTCGGTCACGTCGCCGCCCAGGGCGCGGGGGTCGATGATGTGCCCCCGGGCTTCAAAGAGACCGAGAAGGTCGGGTGGTACTACAACGCGGCCGACGCTCGGCTGGCTGAGGGGAGAGAGTGAAGGGCACTGTTTGGGGTGGAGATGTCCTTTTGGAGGGAGCCGAGTGGAAAAAGGGGGCCTCAGAAGCCCTCACTCATGAAATGTGCGGGGCCTTCGACATAATTGCAGATGATTTCGAATACACCAGAGGTTCTGGGTGCTTGCTTTCTTGGGACTTTTCATGAGGAGAGGCAAGACTTCTGCGCTCTGCATATGGTTTGCATGCTGCCGAGATCACAAGCCGGCCACGTAGGCGAAATGTGGACAGTTTTTCAACTTTAGAGGTTTTAGAGGGGATTCATTTATCATCATTTATCGATCGATTCTTGGTCTCAAACTCTGGGGAATTGCTCGTGTCATGAAGTGTCCACCAGGCAGAAACACGACTCTCTGTTTGAACACGGTATATAGATCATCACCAGTTTCCGTGTTTCCCTGGTCACTCTGCCCCTCCACCCTGGTGAATCCGCCCCGGTGAGCTCTGACAGCTCTGAGGAGAAGATCTGGTGGGTCACGTCCACACGCAAGTTCTTGTGGTTGGACGAAGAGACTGGGGAACACAAGGAGCCACGAGGGAACTCAACGGACTGGGAGGTCAGTTGAGTACAGGTGTTCCTCCAAATTGCAGGGTGGGAGGATGGACGGCTGATGGGGAGCGACAGCAAAAGAACCAAGGACCGGCCCTTTCTGCGTGTTCAATCTGTGCAATTGTGTGTGTGTGTGTGTGTGAGGACTGAACAGCAAATAATTAGAAAGATGGCATGCTGGCAGAATGTGGGCAGCCCTTATATAAAAGTTTTGATGCGTGTGCTGGGGGAGCCCCTCAAGGCTACAAGTTCAAGAGGTGAACATTCCAGCCGGTGGCCCTCCCTAGGTGCCGCTGGTGAGTTGAGCTCCTCATGAGCTCCTCGTGTCTCGTCTCGGATCGAAAGGCCGTCGCTTGAGGAGCTCAACTCAGTTGGGTCGCTTGAGACCGTCTGCCGTTTGACACTCCACCGCGATCTCACTCACTTGTTCTTGGGTGTAAGAGACTAGGGAGACACCTTCGACCCCCAGGATCCATCGAGTCACCCGAACCACTCGGGTCCTCTGCGCTTGAAGCGATCGCCTTCTGCGATGAGGAGCTGCATGAGGGGCTCAGCCTGCCCTATACCTTCGCGGGGGGCGCAGCATCCATCTCCGAGGCGATGCGTCGCGCGTCGCCTCCTTGACGCACGCGGGCGCATTCTTCGGGCGATTCTGCGGGGGGAGCAGCCTGGTTCACCGGTGTTCTGATTTCAGGGATGCTGCGGTTGAAGGCTTCAGCTACACCCTCAAGATAAAGAGGAACATTCAAAGAACATTTCAAGCCGGTTTGGGTGACGTTGGTTTAAATTCTTGAGGCCACGGATTTTGGGCCATGGGTGCACACTCTGTTGAAGAACATCTAGAGGGACACACGGGCCTCCCAGCCTCTCTTGTGGGTTTCTTCGTCCATGTTTTGTAGAATTTTGACCCGAACAAACCAAGTGTTGTGACCTTCTAGAGGGGCCGCCTGTTACCGATGGATCCCCAGGGTGGGCCTCGCTTGTCTCAAAAAAGGACCTCGGGGTTCTCAGGCTCAACGAGCACACCCTGTGTACCTTCCAAAGAACTCCCACTTTTCCTTCGCCACCGGGGGGGAGACCAAATCACCGAAAAAGCACATCATGTCCTTAGTGTGGCAATGGTATCTGCGGTCTAGCACGCGTTCCCTCACATGGCGATGATGCAAAATGGCATAGTTTTCTTGGGCGTTGGCACCGACCGGCCAACCCAGAGTTTTTCTGCATCATTCGGCAGGCTGAACATTCCCATGTCAAGTGGTACCAAAGTATAGGTACGTGACCTGAGTCGCACCAAGTGCAAGGAGCAGGCGCAGCTTGGAGTTTCTTATGTTTTTAAAACCTGCCAAGTCTGGCAATGGCAACGGAAACCACCGCCCTAATCAAACATGCACTTGCATGCGGTTCCGGCTTTGTCTTGACCAATCCAAACTGTGGCGATCCTCCTGTTTGCGGACCCCGTGTGAACCGGGAGGAGGGCGCCAGTGGCGGCGCGCCCAAGACGGTGGTGATCCCCGACCTGCACCGCGTGGCGACCGCTTTGCCGCTCGGGAGAGGCATGCTACGGCGACCGGTGGGGAGGTCGGCCCCGGAGGCCAATTCTCGTTTTGCTGTTTTTCATAAGCGTAAGGCGTTTTATAGGCATAACAGTAAGGATCTATCGGCCGTGTTTTTTTGGGGCGTACCGATAGGCGTAGAGGCCCCCAGGAGTCTTCTTTTCGCGTTCTTTTTGGAGTCTTTCCACCTTTCAGTTACATTTCATGAATCCACCCGAAGAGCTGAGTGACCCCGCAGGTTCCCCGACCACCCACCATGATTTCCTGTGTTATTTGTTTTTCATGTTTTCTCTTTCTTTTCCCCACATGCAGACCTGTCCGACCTGTCCATGGACATACAGAGGCGAACAAAACCGGTATCCATTTCAGTTCTTCCTCGCCCTTCGCGCAACCCGAGGAAGACGGAGCTGGCACACCTGGACCGTCCCTCGGCCATGCTGGGTGCCTTTGAGAACGAGACCGCGGCACGGACCTTCCATGAGAAACTGGTGCCTTGGATGGACTGGCGGCTAAAAGATGGGGGTGGCTGGGGTGAGTGGATGGAGATTCGGAGGTTTTGGGGTGCACAGAGTCAATGGACCTCAGTAGATCGCATCCCATGGTGAAAACGATCTCCGAACAATGCCGTGGAAGTCAGGAACTCCAACCGGTGATCTCAATGGATACGGCTAATTGGCAGTACTCGCACCAGTACAAAGAATTTATGTGAATTTTATCCATGATCAGAAAAGGTTACAAGACTCATCAAGCCTGGGAAGTAGGTTGGGTGGAATTGCGATGAGATGGAACATCGACAGTGAGTGTTTTGACCAAGACCGGGTTTGGCGCAAGGCCGCAATATGAGCACGATCTCCACTAAGAGCCAACCAAAAGGCAATCCAAGGGTTTTTGGGCCTACCGACTACCGACCTCTCACCAGCGCTCAGTTGACCCAGCGCCAGCAGAATACCACTCAAGTCGCAGTGTCCAATCGATCGAGGTCAAGCGCTTGGGCGCCTACCGGGGTCGTTGGTTAGATCACCAGCTGGTCTCGGCCTTGGAAGCCACGCTGCAAGAGGTCCTCGCAGGCGCGGCCAAAACGGCGCACGGAGTGCCACACTGGGCGCGGTCGGGCTGGAAAAGGGGCTGTCTTGACCCACGACATGGTGAGATGCTGAGATGTGTTTTTTGAGTCGCGAGTTCGTTTTCGCTGAGGGTTAGTGTTCGCAGTGAGATGCTGTGGATGGACGGTCTCAGTGACGGTTGGTTGAGAGTTCCACGATGTCAGGGTGGTCCACTGCGTGTGTATTTTTGATTGTTTTAGCTTCACGAGGATTTGGTTTGGATAATATATATGTTTGGATTCTTCTAATGCAGTAGTCTTCCTCTGGCTTTCTGTTGATGCTTCCGGAGTGTTTGCATCACACCACGCTTCTTGTGACCTTCTGTGGCGATCGGGTGGACGGTCCCGGATCGCACCGTGGACGGTGCAGAAGAGACCGAAGGCAGGGTCACTCTGCAAAACAAGTGAGAGAGAACTGAGTTTGACCAGGACTGGATGGGGACGCGGGTTTTCCAACGACTGCCGAACACGGTTGAAAGAGCGAAGAATGGCGTTCGAATCCCGTTCGACTCGGGTCAATTTGTTCTTCACCGCCGGTGAAGTTTCTTTAAAGTTTTCGGGCGCCGGGCGCGAAGCCCCGACCGCGACCGCCGGCAGGCGGTGCGAGTGGAACTGCCGTGCACCTGGGCATGAAAAGGTCGGGAGGAACGGCCGAGCGCAGGGGAGCCGCCGAGCCCCGGAGGCTCGGTGTTCGCTCGGTGTTAGGACCGGTGGGTCCTGACATCCTGAAGGTTGACTATTTCGGTGCAGTGCAGGGCTCCAAGCCGGAAGTGAAAGACATGGAGGCGGCGTGTTTGAGGGCGCTTCAAGAGGGGGTGGCAGATGGTGAAGCATTCCGGCACGGGAAGCTGTAAGCATAGCAAGCGCGCAACTTGAATCAAGCAACCACCTGAACCAAGCAAATCAACTGACCTGGTTCTTCAAAGTGAGCAACCTTGATATTCTGCTTGGTGAAAGGTCACCAAAAAGGGCCTGTAAAAGGTCACCTAGACTCTAGACAGGGGAACTCCCAAAGAGATGAAACGATATGAAACGATATGAAGCTGGCAATCTCAGAGGAAGCGAGTACCATCGATCGGTCCGTTCTCACTCAATCGATGGATCCAGAATCCAGATCCTGTTCGTCGTGCTTTTGAATCCTTGAAGAGCAGATCCGATTTCACGGACGTCTGCCGTTGGGACGGCCCCGATTCGGGGCCCATCTAATTAATTCAAGAATTAGGAGCAGGAACGCTGTTTCTGGTTTCTTTTTTGCAAACATTGTTCCTAGTAACTATTAGTAGTAGGGCCAGGAGCCCCGGTCGTAGCGTCCTTGTTCCTATAGTAGTGATGCCCTTTGCTCCTAGTAGCTTTCTTTTCGTATTTTCTCGGATTTCCAGTGAGTTTCTTGGAACATTCAAATGTTGATCAATCTTTTGTAATTCTGAAGGCATCAACATCACCGGTTCTTCCGGTGATGTTGCTCCGTCGTTATGGGATGGGGACCCTACTGATTTGAAATGATTTGACCCCGTTCCCTCTTTTTTTGATCCCTACCTTTTTTTCTCACCCCGAAACCATATTCATATCAACCCTCCTTCCTGCCACCGGCATACTTTCTCTTTGACTCTGCAAGCCGCAAGCCTTTCATTTTGACCCCGTTCCACAGGAAACCTTCCATTCCAGCCCCCGCCACTCCAACCCCTGGGTCTTCGAGCAGCCCAAACCTGTCATGCATTGTCATGCCGACCCCGTAAATGTTTCGTTTCGACCCGTTCCACTGGAAACCTCGCAACCCCAGCCCCTGCCACTCGAACGCCTGCGAATGGTTGTTTCGACCTTTGGGCGCCCAAAACCTTTCATTCCGACCCCATGAACCCATTTTGACCGCCCTGATTCCAGAGTGCACCATGCCAAAGCCGGTTGATTGCTTCTTTGACTTGTGCAGGGGCAAAAGCTTGTCATTCTGATTCCGTAGACCTCCCGGTCCAGCCCTGCCACTCCCAAAACCATTCATTCCGACCCATCATTCACTTCAATCTATTTCGTATAGTACTTGATGTACAATGATTTAATGATGTATATACATGTTCCAGGGTGAAGTTTTCGAGAGTGGAAAACCAATCTCAGGGCGGCGCCTGCGCCGGTTGCCGCGGATGCCACGCACCGGTCTGGCTGTGCCTAGGTCGGTGGTGTTAGTGGTCGGTGCCCGAGCATGGGCAGTGGCCACGGAGGGGGCAGCCTTTCATCTGCAAGTGCGGAAGGCCTGAAGAGGGTGGTGCGCGTGGAGGGTTTCCGCGCCGGGAGCCGGGAACTTGCTGGTCGGAGGAGCATCGAAACTCTTCACCCGTGTTAGTGACAAGCTGGCATATTTTCACTATGGAACAAGACCCCAAGGGCTGTGCCTTTCACAAGCAAGGGCATGGACGGAGGGTATATTGTCTAGGGGCTCTCACACATCTCTCATGCCTCGTCTGTACACGCGAAAAGTGACTCAACTGTACACGCGAATGAGATGCCTCAACTGTACAGGCGGATTTGCTGCCTCAAACAAAAGGATGAGTCAAGTTGGAATGACCACTTCCTTCTAAATTCTTTTACCCCTGCATTGCCCACACAAAGGGGTGAGTCAAGTTGAAATGGCAACATCCTTCTCTAAATTTTACCCCTGCATTGCCGACAAAAGGGTTAGTCAACTTGGAATGGCAACATCCTTCTCTAAACTTTACCCTCGGGTGGCTGACCAAAGGGTGAGCCAACTTGGAAGGGCCACTTCCTTCTCTAAATTTTACCCCTGCATTGGCCACAAAAGGGTGAGTCAAGTT